TATTGAGCTACCAGCACTTTCACCTAAAACTGGACTGTTCTCCAAATATCAAGCCATTCATGAAACTGTTCACAAAAGGCATCGATTAAAGCGAATACAAAAACTGAGTCCGTTTCAAAACAACCGAAACAACACCTATTATCCACAAGGCAGCAAATTCTAAACACACAACAATCTCAAGACACTGGTGAAAACGTCTCCACCTTGTGAAAACAAAAGGATAGGAATACTTACAGGAATGTAGAAAACGTCAGCAAAAAACAACAACAACAACAACAACAACAACAAAAGCTGATGAAAGGGTAGTGGTGACTGGAATTTATTTTTAATCGTTTTGTTACGATATTCGGCGACGCTTTTTGTTCATCGCTGGTACAGACGATTGTTTTTTTTGTCTTAACTAACGCTGGCTGCGCTAGTAGAAAGAAGGAGCGGTGTTTTAACTAGAAGGGACGGTATTATCTCCGAAGTGTCAGGAGAGAGAGAGAGTCGCTCTTGTTTACCTGAATCAGGTTGTCATCGAAGCTGCCCCAAGCCTCGCTGTTGGTGCTCTTATTTCCTCCCGGCGCGGACATCTTCGGACACGCAGGACTGTCACTCTTGCGGGGACGGAGCCCTTATATGCTAAGACTGAATATGCTCGCACAAAGGCAGGAGAAAAGTCGCTCGGCGAGACCCCCAGCTCGGCGCCGCTGCTCGCTCTCGGCCACCAGGAAGCACACCCAGGCCTGGAGACGTGGAGCTCGCGGGACCTCTCGCGAGACGCGAACGTGACTTCAGCTCTTGTTTCGTGTGTGTGTGTGTTTGCACAGGAACAAGTGAGGGTTTATTCCCGGGCTGGAAAGAGAAGAAAAGAAACGCAACGTTTCGGATGTGGAGCCTTCTTCTCCTTGACGCCGGAAGAAGGCTCCACAGCCGAAACGTTGTGTTTCTTTTCTTCTCTTTACAGCATGGGATTGTTCCTTTGCGACCTACTTGAACTATCTTTTTTTTTTTTTTGTATTGGTGCTTGCAAGAGGTCCGGCAGTTTCCCCTGAAATATAGGCAAAATCTGCTTCTTTTTTCCGCTTTATTTCATATAAATGAACAGCGCTGAGCTATGCATCAGAACGAAAAGTGTCAGGCGCGCTATCTAGAGTTTTTAGCTCCAAATCAAGAGCAATAGGCATGTTCTTACACAAAGAGTTGTGGGAGTGTGGACACCAGCTACCCAGCCACGCTGTCGAAGCCCTTATCCTCCCTTCTTTAAAGAAACATCTAGACGAGCTCCAGTAGAGTTCGATTAGCTACTATTAACAAAAAATAGCTAGACAGATTAAACAGCCGCCTTTTATATGCCTTAATTATCTTAATTATTGCAGGCGATAGTGCATGACCGCCGTGGAACGCACGCGTCCACTAACAACATCTTCCAGCAGCAGCCTTAGTTTTTCCCGGGAGCTCTCCCATCCAGGTACTGACCAGGCTCACAGCTAAGACCTCCTGCTTAGTTTCAGTGGGTTCGTTGCCAGGTGTGAGTTGCAGGGTTCCTGGCATGAGCTCGACCATGAAGGAAATAAAACATACTAGGGTACTGTGAGTTACAATAATATAATATATAATTGCAATACTGATTCTTTTTTTAAGAATTTAGTGTCAGTTAAATAAAAGTAAAGTTTATCATTAAATAACGGAACTGCATTGTCAGGAGTTCTCAACTTGACAGTTATATTTTTTATTGCAAAGCACAGCTCGATGAGCGGAAATGACGTTGAAGAACAGGAAAATCAACAGTGTGCAGAAATGGCGGCGCCCAGGAGCAACGTGGAAGAGATTCGCGATCGTGTGATTCTGGGCGAGTTTGGGGTCCGAAATGTGAGTGCTTGTTTCTAGGTGGTGGAGAGATGCTGGTTCCTCATAGGCTATGAGATAGTACAAATAAAAACGTATTATTATTGTCGTAAGAAAGTTTGTTGTGTCATGTGTACAATTCTATGCCGACGACAGTTAAGTAACCGCTTTTCCAGATGCGCACACTGTTTATGAGGCAGACTCGTTTACTATTTCTCTCTTACAATGTAAAGCGTGTTGTAAAATACATAACTTGTTTTGGGATAAGGGGTAATTTAATGTCTTTTCTTCAAAGGTTCATACGACAGACTTCCCTGGTAATTATCCCGGGTACGATGATACCTGGAACCGGAAAAAATTTGAAGAGGTAAAGATAAAACTCGGCTGTAATCTTTGCTGTCAGTAGCTGTTGCTCATGGAAGAGGTTCCCTGCGCTTTTGTTTATCATGTGTTTCAAGCAACGCGAGTATTTTTATTTTACAGAAGTTTAGAATCGACGTGATTCGAATGGATGAAAATACGCTGGAGTTCGACATGGTGGGCATTGACGCTGCTATCGCTAATGCATTCCGTCGAATCTTACTAGCAGAGGTAAATATCTCCCGAAAATAACAGGCTCTCAATTAAAAAAAAATAAAATAAAATGTGTACTATTATAATTTTTCCTATTCTACGTATATCTTTTTAGCTGGTAAATTCTACTTAAGTCTATTTTCTTTTTGAATTGTGTGGACCAATGACTGTTGAATATTCCTTAGCTTGTATGATGTACTTACAGGAAAAAAAAAAAGTAATATTAAAATAAAACCTTAAGGTGACCGTAGCTGCAAATTTAAATGCACACTTCATGGTGGCTCAAGATAGTTTCGTGAAAACCTGTTTCAGGCTGTGGGTGTTGTTGCAGAGTGCTTATTTTCAGTTATCTGAAAAAACCTGACCCATTGCTTGGAATAGCCCAGGCTTAATTCTGTAATTAAGACTGACACCTGAAGAAGGCTCCACGGCCGAAACGTTGTGTTCTCTTTCTTCTTTTTTTCAGCATGGAATAAACCTATTACTTAATTCTGTAATGCTGTCTTTGCTAAGGTTCCCACGATGGCTATAGAGAAAGTGTTTGTGTACAACAACACATCTATTGTCCAGGATGAGATTCTGGCACATCGACTGGGACTGATCCCCATCAAAGCAGACCCTCGTCTTTTTGAGTACCGGAATGCAGGTGAGCAGAATCATCGTTGGCCTCTGTAGTGGAAGTTACAGCCGTCTCTCAGTACAAGCTGCATTTTATCCTGAGAGAAATGATGTGGAAACTGTTTTCATATGTTTTCACAGGGGATGAAGAAGGCACAGATATTGACACAATTCAACTGCAACTAAAGATCAAGTGCACCAGAAATCCAAGAGCTAGCAAAGATTCCTCTGATCCCAGTGAACTCTACATTAACCACATGGGTATGTTTTGTTATTTACATCTGGACTCTTGAGTCAAGAGCATGGAGTAGCTGGAAAGAAGAGATAACTGCAACATGCCCTTAACTGAGGCAGGAAGCATTGGTTAGCAGCTCCTAATGTGCTATAACTAACAAAAGCAGTTTACTGTACATGCAGTCTTTCCAATTGGAGACTGTTAAAAATATCTAGATTGATTAGTGGTTCACAGCCTTGTCATTTTTTCAGCTGAAATATTGATTCCTTTAGCTAATAGATCCTTTGAATTGAACTTGCTTAATTTGTTTTATGCTAACCCTGCACTCAGTTTTTTGTTTTGAAAATACCCTCCAGCAGAAGTGTTATCATCATGAAATCTAACAACCCTTATTTCAGTCTAAACCGCTCTTAAAAGGTGACTAATGATGTCCAGATACACTGTACCATACACCCTCATCAGTCCTTGTTCTGCAGAAATCTAAGTTCTTAGGTCCCAGGCACTTGAATGAGGAGAGTCCAGAAATTGATATAGGAATGTTGCTAATTACAGTAGCCATACAGTTCTCTCAGAGCTGAAAACATTCTTAAGAAAAAGGCCTACCAAGCAAGCAGAGATCTATTGGCTTAAGTCATTAAGACCTCCATTAGAATGGAAAGACTAAGAGACCAGATTCTCTCTGAAATATGGACTTAGAACTCCTGACATGGATAACGTATTATGCAGAACGTGTGACTCGTTAAGAAGTGTTTCCTTCTCTATTTTTCCAGGGGCCTTAAGAACATATAAGTTTAGAATCATCACAGTTGACCCCAGACCATGCAAAAGAAGCAGCTTTAAATCAACATCGCCATTTCATACATGTAAGGAGATTTGTGTGTTTGAGTTCTGTTTCTCTGCTTTGTCCCAGTTTACTCGAGGGACATTAAGTGGACTCCTCTCGGGAACCAGGCAGACCTGTTTGCGGAGGCGGGTATCAGCCCTGTTCATGGAGACATCCTGATTGCACAGCTGCGGCCCGGCCAGGAGCTGGACATCGTCATGCATTGTGTGAAGGGTGTAGGTAAGGACACCGGCCTCTTGAGAGTAACCTGATGGGAGGGCAGTTCCCAGCACCAGGTGCTCTTTCGTACTGAGCTGTGATTAGACAGACTGCAGTGCCTCAGAGGCCTTCGAGCAAAGGTGATGGACTGCAAAAGCTATCAATGAGATTGTACGCCACACAGTTTTAGTGAGACAATGAGTATTAGACACATTTATCACAAGACAGTTGACAACTGTATATTATTGATGTAGCAAGACTGAAACCCCTTGCTTTTTGCATTATTTTTTAAACAAATCCTTGAGTGGTTATTCTTGTAGCACTGTGTAACGAGACCTGACGGACTCATTAGAGTTTTGGACGGTTTACAAGTCTTCAATTCGGAACGTCCTTTACCAAAGAAGCTGAACTCATCTTATCCTGCGCAGGCCACGTTGGCGATTGTTGAAGCCTGGATTGAACAGCTCAGTGATCTCCTTCTCTTCCTCCTCAGGAAAAGACCATGCTAAGTTCTCCCCAGTGGCCACAGCCAGCTACCGCCTGCTGCCGGAGATCACTCTGCTGCAGCCCGTGGAGGGGGAGCTGGCGGAGAAGCTGAAGCGCTGCTTCTCTCCAGGCGTGATCGAGATTGAGAGTGATGGCGGTAGGTCAAGCCCAGGGAGGGAGGGCTGTTTTCCATCACTTCGTGTCTTAGCAGCAGTTAGGGTAGCTGAGCGCTTTGCAGAACAGTGTTCGAGACAAACTGCCAGTTGATCAGGAAGGGATGGGCCCATTACCTGCTCTGCAGTCACGATGAATAGTGAGAGATGAAACAAAGGACACAAGTGGAAACTATGTGGAAGCGTATTGAAGACCAAGACAAGCAGGCACTTCTTTACACAGAGGTTTGTGGGAGTATGGAACAAGCTACCCACCCATGGAGTTGAAACTTATAACCCTGTGTCCCTTAATGAAACAGCTGCATGAAACCCTTGGATCGAACAGGCTAGGAGGGCAGAGTGGGCTCCTCTCGTTTGTCACCTGTCTTAATGATGTGAACTCAAGTGACTAAGTGATCCATCTAAATAGTTTGGGTATTAACTTGGGTGAATCGCAGGGACACCAGCTTTATTTTTATCCTTAAGTGAACGTTAAAAAATAAAAGTGAGCATGTCTGAGTATCCTGAATGTCCCATTTGTGCTTGTGTTGGTCCCATGCAGGGAAGAAGTTCGCAAAGGTAGCGAACAGCCGGCTGGACACCTGCAGCAGGGAGGTGTTCCGTCACGATGACCTGAAGAACATCGTGAAGCTGGGTCGAGTGCGAAACCACTTCATCTGTACGTCCTCGCCGCTTCCTTCCTGCGGGATTCAACACTTATGTCTTAAGATAAGATCCCTACATTGGCCATATACAATTTCTCGTATTAGGAATTTGTCTTTTAGCATATCCTAGCTTGCTCTCCATGAGACACTCAGGCACACAGATGGGGAGAGAGAAGCTCGGGGTCAGAGCGCAGGGTCAGCCATTGTACAGCGCCCCCTGGTGCAGTGGGGTTAAGGGCCTTCCTCAGGAGCCCAACGGAGTAGGATTCCTCTGTGGGATTTGAACTGGCAACCTTCCAGCCACAGGTGCAGATCCTGAGCCACAGAGCCACCACTCCGCCCACGGGCATGTCAGGTCATTCAGTCCAGAACCAAATACCTTCACCTCATCTAAATATGATTATGGTTAAGTGTCATTGTTAGACACTGCTTATTGGGAGATAACATTTTGCACATGTTTTTCTTTCAACTTAGTGACTTCTTATCTCACTTTTTCTTTTACTCTGAAAAGTGCCAGTTGAATACATCCGGTGTTAATTGTACATAATGCAATTAATCTGCAGGAGTGGTCTAATATGTGCATGAATTAAACATCAAGTTCTTGATTTTTAAAGTGATCCTTCACCGGCTGAATTTGGTATTTTCTTGCCCAGCTTCTTGTGCATGTTCTAAAGCACTTAGAAACCACTTTCCTCCTGACTATGAGGTATATTCATGATTATAGTGCATGGCACCAGGGGCACCTCTTTCAAACCTTGTGTGGCATTGCAGAGCAGAATGATGCCACGGCCAAAATGAATAGAACAAAGCTGACTAAGGTCAGTCTGGGGATGCATTTTTAAATTGTTCCCATGCATAATTATAAAATCTGCTTGGGTGCACAAGTACGTACAGTTTCCATAAGAACTTCACATTGTAAAGGAGGGGGGCTTCGTCCGGGATCAAACTGCACTCCCTGGTGGCATTGAACTGCCTGAGCCCCCCTTTCCCTGTAAAGGGCCGGGAGTGACGGTGAAAAGAGGCTCGTACGGGGTGTCCTGCTCTGCCACTCTGACCGCTGTGGGGTCTGACCTCTCCTCTCGCCTCCTGTGGAGTTTCGGTGGGGTCCTGCTCTGCGACTCTGGCCGCTGTGGGGTCTGACCTCTCCTCTCGCCTCCTGTGGAGTTTCGGTGGAGTCCTGCTCTGTGACTCTGGCCGCTGTGGGGTCTGACCTCTCCTCTCGCCTCCTGTGGAGTTTCGGTGGAGTCCTGCTCTGTGACTCTGGCCGCTGTGGGGTCTGACCTCTCCTCTCGCCTCCTGTGCAGTTTCGGTGGAGTCGACGGGGATCCTGTCCCACGTCATCCTGGTGAGCGAAGCCATCAAGGTCCTCATGGCCAAGTGTGACAAGTTCCTCTCCGAGCTGGATTCGGCCGAGGTGGACTGATGGGCGGAGACGGGCTTGATGGAGACCCGGAGCGCGGCTCGTTTGAGGCAGCCCGGCTGGGACCTGCTGGAGTGTGAAGGGCATGGTCTTGAAACGGGCCTCCCAGTAGCCTGTTGCAGGGAGTCAGTCCACCTCATTAATCAATACGGTGCAGCCGAAGCTGTAAATACCACCACTCCTGAAGCTCGGAAGGGGGCTGAGGGGGTGGAGAGTTATCTACATATTTCTGTTAATTAATGCTCAAAAACCACGGTGGTTCTAAATTATTTATTGACGTGCTCCAGAAGTGTGTGCCACAAACCAGGCTCATCATCAGAGTGATGCAGGTTCTCCAGTTCAGATTTGCAGTCTGTGTTTTTTTTTTTTTTAGTGGGTCACGCATTTGCTCCATCAAGTGTGAAGACTGCTGGGGCGTTATTCCACAATGTGCACCAAGTGTCATGTACATTCATATTTTGTGTTGTATTAAAAGATGGACTGAAAAGCTCTGGGTATTTTCATCTCTAAATCATGTTTCCTTCATCTGTCTTATAGAGTTCAGAGCACATGAGAGCACTGTACTTATTGTCTTGCAGTGATTAAAAATGTTTAATGATTTCTTTATAATAACCTGGTCTGATTATTCAAAGCACAGATAAATGTACAACGTATCCTCATTTTAAACTGTTAGTATCTTTCAAAACCGGTAAATGCAGCTTTTTAAAATGAAATTAAAGACAGCTAAAGAAAGTTGAGTCTGAAAAGATTTCCTTTCCTCCCAGGAACGGAGTGTCTAGCTTTTTAGCAATTTAACTGGCTACTATAGAAAACTAAAATTCATTTTTAATTAGTGAAATGTATGTTATTGAAATACAAGAACATCCTGTTAACAGTCTTTGAAAACAAAATGAAATCGAAATTTTATCAAGTAGCATCATAAAAAGGTAAAATAAGTTACACAAAGTGCCAGGAATAAAGATGGCTTCCTCACCATTTCTATTGAGTATGATAGCATAGGAAAGCACTTCCTCCATTAGTTTGCCCATCCTGCACGTCACTTCCTTGATTCCTCAGTAGACGAAGATGGCGGCCGTGGAAGACAGAGTGGATGGAGGTGTCGGAGCGCTGGAATCCGGGTCAGTTTCCCCAAGACTGTCGACTCCTCCGCCGGACCAGCCTCATCAGAACAACCCGCTGCTGGGTCTTCCCATTGTGGCGATTGAGACCATCCTTAATTTCCTGTCTTACGACGAAATCAGCCTGCTTCGCCTGGTGAGACGGAACAAAAAAACTCGGATCGTCAGTGGGGACAGTGTTGGCTGTTTTGTTTTTGTAACGTTTTCAGGTTTTCGTAGATAACAAAAACATGCATTTGATTATGACATAAAAGTTTAGCGCGTATAAAAAATCCCGCTGGTAGCAGCAAGGCCCAGCGGTTGACGGAACTCGGACTAAACGAGTTTTTTGGAGCCCAGCTACTTTTAAATTAGCTGAAAATAAGTAACGTGTCCCTACCGTTGTTCTGTTGAAGCGAATGTGGCAGGAAATACAACTCCCCCTCAGTGTTTTTGAAATATTAAACTGCTTTATTATGAAGAGCTATGAGCTTTAGTCAAAATCTACCTTTTAATATAGTCCTACCTCGTCAGTGGGGGGGTTTTTTTTTTGCTTATGCTGTGAAAATGCAAACGCTTTTCTGAAGAATCCCGACCTGGTCTAGTCTGACACTGTCAATTTATGGTGAAGATTTAATTAATTTGCGTTATATTTGTGCGAGATAATATTAGAAATATCGGTAATACTCTGAGAGCATCTCTTATCATCACATTTCTAGATGAATACATTCTATAAACATATCTAAAGGTGCATGGATGTCATGCCGTATATTTAATCTTACATTCCATCTTAAATGGAATCTTAGAAAAAGCCTTCCAGCCTTTCAGAGTGATGAGAGGTAGCTGTTTTGGCTGTTACATGAAGCAACCTGAGAGATTTTCGTCTTGCCCTATATGGATTGATGTATTCAAAGCTGAGCCAAAGGGAATGGCGGTTTCTGTTAGTAGTAGTCAGGTTTCTGATATTGAAATGTCCTTGCTAAGAATCAGTCTTGGTCTTCCAAGGTAATCCGAAATTGCACATGTCTTTTCAGGAGATGGCTTAAGCACACTGATCTCTCTGGACCAGCTGTCCTTACCCTCAGCTCCCGGTCACACCCTGAAACTGCTTAGACCCTCACCCAGTCTCCCCCCTGCATACAGCTCCAGGGTCACTGGGGCAGGGAGCTATCTGATCTGACAGAGAATAGGCAGGATGAGAGAATGAAACATTTAGGACCAATGTGTCAAAACGGTACAGCCTTTTAAGCCAAAAAAGGTTGAAAGAAAAGTCAGGGTTGAGGGGTCAGAGTTCATGATTCATCATCTTACTTGGATTGTTGTAGCCCTATATTGAAGTTACAAGAAGAATGGTTAAAAACTAAGGGGAGGCATTTTGGCCTATCTACCCTATTGGGTAGTTCATCCAATGAATATCTTATTCATCCAAGGATGTCATCCAGCTCTTTCCTGAAGGAAACCAGGATATGGCTTCTAGAATCTGGGCTGGGTAACTTGTGCCATACGTACCCTTTGCATAAAGTTCCTCCTAATCTCAGGCTTACTCTTATCTTTGGTATCCACCTGTGTGCTCTGGTTCGTGTTTCCTTCATGTCCACTTCTTTGACTTGGTCAGCGCCTTTGAGGATCTTCAGTACTTGTACAGTCTTCGCTGTTGAGACTAAAAAGGTTTGGTTCTTTCAGCCTGGCAATGAAGCATTCCCCTTCTCTGCATTGTTATCATATCCTATGGAGTCCAGATCGTATTTAACTTCTTTTTGCTTCTCAGCCTTTCTTGTGTTGTCTAATGGCCGTCTGGTTTTCTTGTGTTGTCTTAGGTTTGCAAGCGGATGGACATGATCTGCCAGCGCATGCTTAACCAGGGCTTCCTCAAAGTGGAACGATACCACAGTTTGTGCCAGAAACAGGTGAAAGCCCAGCTGCCCAGGTGTGTGCCGGTATCTCTGTCTACAGTCTGCGCCACAATTCAACTGTATCTTTAAATTGAAATTTAAACCTATTGCATTTTGGAACACATTTTTAAAGGAGGAAGGGTCTTTTAAGTACACTGTGCTTTCACAATATAATATATATAGACTACAAAACTCAAATATATAGTCAAGTGGTATTTAGTTTTTGGAGATTGTTAAATTTTGCATTAAGATGCTTTTGTGTGAAAATCTGTGATGTATATTTCAGGTTGGTTTTGGTTTGTTGTAACGTTTCCAGAATTCCCAGTGTAATCTCAGATGAGGGTGAATAAGCGCTTCTGTGTCAGTAGTTCAGTCTTCATTGCCTGTAACCAGCGGAGTGGAAGTGGATTGTTGTTTACTAGTGAAATGCACACCCTCGGTGCGGAATACATAAATATTTGATGAGGGAGTGACATTTCCAGAGTAGAATTGCAAATAATTTAATGAGACTAACCCAATTATGTCAGCACTGGCTAAGTACTTTAATGTGATTTGCAGAAGTGTTCTAAATATTTTGTGACTTGTATACTGTAATAGCAGTGAAAATATTATGAGCTTCATCCTTTTTTAAATATATTTCTTTGAGCACAGCTTGGGCTGCATGATTCTGAACTAGATCATGCAGAGATTTTTACATAGCTGCGCCAAGAGAGGAAGGGGTTCTGAAATAGTGTGGGTAGCGTTTTTGCTACGGAATTTTCCATTACTGCAGGGATGTGTATCAGATGAAGGCAGGGATGTTGTTGTATTTTGTTGTTGGATGGTTTATTTGCCTGTGGCAGCTGATGGATCTTTAGATGGCCTGAAGCCTTACTAGACCTAAATCAGAAGATGGTGTTGCAGAAATCCCCCTTCTCTTCCATGAACATGTATCTTGTTTAACCGCAGTGTTTTCCATCAGTGAATTGAACAGGTTTCCTTGCTGGAATAAATAAGAGCCTTTTGAAGATAAAATATTAAATATGTTCTGTTGGGGCGACAAAGAAAAACCTAATGTGTGCTGTGAGCTTGCATCAGGTGTCATTTTACACATCATGGGCCACACGGCCCCATCTTGGAGACCCGGTGCCAATTAGAAGGGAGGTATGCCCCCCCCCCCCACTCAGCTGTAACTACCCGAGAGGCCACAAGGGGGCGCTGAGAGCCAAGAGGCAATCCCTCCGGCAAGGTTCAGTCAATTGTGTGCGGCCACATGGGAAATCCCAGTGGCTGTATTTTCTCCCAGGTGTTGATGGTTTCTCTCTTGCCTCTGGCTGAGCTGAGGCCCAGTGTTCAGTAGAAAGACATACGATTCTGTGGTTTCCAGGCGGGAGTCGGAACGGAGGAACCACTCGCTGGCTCGCCACGCGGACATCCTCGCTGCTGTGGAAACCCGCCTCTCCTTGCTCAACATGACCTTCATGAAGTACGTCGACTCCAACCTCTGCTGCTTTATCCCTGGAAAGGTAAGACACTTCCCGCTCTGTGCGCATGGCAGAGCAGGGGCCAGGCAGTGAGGGCCAGGCAGCGCACCCCTCCACGGTGTAGTCTTGCCCTGCACCTTGTGCCTGCTGGTTTAGGCTCCGGAGCCCTCCAGGCTCACATTAATTCTCACCTCTGCGTTTTTGCTCATACTTCTGTTTAGTGCTAAAATTGTGTTGTGGTACAAGTCTACTGTCAATTACAAAGTTATAGTTGTCAGCGTAATGTGACCTGTATAACAAAGATAAAAACGGATTGCAAACCTCCTTCAATTAGATCTTCACCAACTTCAGGACCTGCCCACCTGATGGCGCTGTAGTGAAGTATTGGCAAGGACAGCCGAAGGATGATTAAGAGCCGGTGCAATACGCCCAGGGATGTTTTTTTTCCTCGTGTGCGGAGACCGGCAGCCGGAATGGTTTGGCCTCTGCTCCGCTCTCTGACCCGTGGCTGTGCTTTGCCGTGTCGGCAGGTGATCGACGAGATCTACCGCGTGCTGCGCTACGTGAACTCCACGCGGGCCCCGCAGCGGGCGCACGAGGTGCTGCAGGAGCTGCGGGACATCTCTTCCATGGCCATGGAGTACTTCGACGAGAAAATCGTCCCCATCCTCAAGAAGAAGCTCCCCGGAGCAGATCTCTCGGGCCGCCTCATCGGCTCCACCCCAGGTACCGTCCTCGGCTTGGAAGCCCGGCCCGGCCCGGCCCAGTCAAAGACAGTGTCCCACGCCTCAGGGCAGTCACAGCGCGGAGCAGCGGAAGGGGGCTCAGTGTGTCGCTGGTCAAAGACCAGGCAGGGTGTTGCTTAAGCTTGTTGCAGAAGTGGGTTTAATAATAATAATAATAAACTTTAATTTATATAGCGCCTTTAAAGGTGGCCTCTCAAAGTGTTTTACAGAATGTAAAGATAAAACAATTACAATATACAGAGGAGAATGAGGATGGTGGTACTAAGAAAAGCAGAGGGGTGAAGAATGGAACAGTAAAGTAAAGGCTTTGCTAAAGAAGAAGGTTTTGAGTCTGGAATGAGTTTAGAGAAGGCGACTCTCTGATATCCTTGGGCAGAGAGTTCCAGAGCTTGGGGGCATAACAGGAGAAGACCCTGTCACCCACAGAGTGTAGATGAGCTTGGGGGACAGTAAGGAGAGCAGAATTTGAAGAGCGATGGTTGTGAGGTGGGGAGTAGGGTGCTAATAGTTCAGACAGGTACTGAGGTGCCAAGCCATGCAGAGCCTTATAGGTGAGCATGAGGATTTTAAAGTCACCACGGAATTTGACAGGAAGCCAGTGCAAGGACTCCAGGATAGGAGTAATGTGATCACTTGCACTAGACCTGGTCAGGATTCTGGCTGCTGAATTTTGGACATACTGCAGTTTGTTCAAAGTAGATTTAGATACCCCAGCGAGTAGAGCATTACAGTAGTCAATTCGAGAGAACAAAAATGTGTTGATCAGCTTTTCAGACACAGTTAGTGATTGCATAGGGCATAGTCAAGCGATATTTCTGAATAACTTGTGAGGCATTTGCATGAATAATTACCACTGACCAGAAGTCTTGCACTTGCTTTTCCTGCCGGATCTGTTTCCTGAGAGCAATCCATGAGCCTTTCCTCCCTGGCTCTGCCCTCACGTCCTGTCTCCCCCTCCCCCTCTAGTCGCAGGCCCCTCCACCTCCCTGACCACCATGTCCCTCCTGGCCAAGAACACGCCGTCGCGCTCGGAGATGACCAAGGTGCAGCAGCAGGTGAAGGTGAACGGGGCGGCCATGACGGCGCTGCGGCGGGAGATCTCGGAGGTGCGCGCCAAGCAGCTGGAGCAGCAGAAGCAGCTGCAGGACCAGGAGCAGAAGCTGCTGGAGCAGACGCAGGTGATCGGGGAGCAGAACGCCCGGCTGGCCGAGCTGGAGCACAAGCTCCGCGAACTGATGGAGAGCGCCGTGGGGGGCGGGGGCGGCCGGGCGGCGGTGCCGGGGGGCGCCGAGATACCCTGCAAGCGAGCCAGGAAGGCGCCGGACTCCCCTCGCCAGTCCAAGCGTCTCCGCAGCAAAAAATAAAAGGGAGCTCGTGCTTTTTTTTTTTTGTCGTCCCCCCTGTTTTTTTTTCTTTTCCGTTGTCGTCTGTAGAGTGGGTGAGGGGCATGGGAGGGGGCTTCTCTGTTTTCTGCCAGCTGGTTGCCCTCTCCTCTTTGGCCACCCCGTCCGTCCCTCTGGCACGCTCATGGGATTTGCCCCCGCGCCTGGGGATTGGGATGCTGCCGACTGCTAGGGTATCGTATTCATTTTAAACCAGCGCCCAGACCACCGCCTAGTCCTGACACAGCAGAGAGGAGACGGGGAAGTAGCGATGTCTAGATGTAGCCATTGACGGCGAATGACTTCAGAAATATATCCAGCCAAAGAGAGTCATTCTGCTTGCCTGAACAAGCCGCGTTAAAATCGCTTTACTGGTGGTTGGAAAAATCGGAGAGCTCTCTCATAAAAGTGTGGAACTGTGGGGGTTTGCCAGTCACCATGTGGCTGCAGATGTAGGGAATTATTTAAATTTTTAGCATATTTATTCTTCCACCTCCAGGCATGAACTTGGTCTCCAGTTATCAGATTTTTTTTTAGATTTGATCGATTCATTCCAGGGAACTCCTTGCAGTTAGTGTTCTGAAGCCAGCAGGGTCCTATATGTGATTGACAATACCGTAGCAGACGTCCAGGAGTAGACATTAAAGAAATTTATTTTGAGATTTTCCAGTAACGCACAAACCAGGCTGTTAAAAAGCTGAAGGTCTTGAAATGAATTTACATCAATTCATTTTAATCAAGATTTATATAGTCAAGAATAGTATTTAAGTACAAGATAATGTCAAATCTACCTTGGCCTCTGTCGCTACTGTAGGTTTGTTCATTCGTAAGCAGAAAGTGAAACCACAGCATTTTCTGACATTTTCTGCTGCATCTTGAACCCACACCTCACCCTGAACATAACAGGACTGTCACCCTGGTAACAGAGATTCATCCTGCTATGTGTGTGTATATGTAAATATACAGTGTAGATCTCTTAACATCTAAGTTAACATTTTTCGCAATGTTTTTTTAGCCGTTTTTTATATTAATTCCGAAGACCCCTGCTGTGAAAGTTATTCACAGCAACACACGCGAGAGCGTGCTCGCGGCTCTGGCAGCTGCGAGCCGAGCGCCATCGACACATCGAGCAGACGCTGAAAACAGATTTTGTGGTGCATAAATTAAGGGGGTAAAGTTTTTCTCCTCCTTGTGTAACCAAGGCCTGTTCACAATTCTAAAAAAAGAAAAGTAAGGCAGGTGTTGTTTCTGATGTTAATTAGCAGACCTGCGGAGAGCTGTGCTGAATATTTTCGTTTTCCCTGTGTTTTCAGACAGGTCCCTGTGATTTCATTCGGTGTTGATTTTTGTCTGTAGATGAGAACTGCTTTGAGCCCCACTCATTCGGCACAAGGTGTTTCTTCGTCTTTCGGAAAGGCCTCCGTGTGGCGTCCGGCTCAGCACGGAGAAATGAGACCTGGAGCATGTTGAGCCCGGGTTGTGCTGTGGATGTGTCCACTCTGGAGGTGTATTCCTTTTCCCTTTTTTATGCCAGTCAGTGGCCTCGCCATCCCAGAGCAGCACTCGTGGTGGCTGGTGTTGGTTGCGCCCAGGCATTGGGTCAGTCTGGGACTCGGCCTCTGTCTTGCCCAGCTGGTTGGAGGAGTGCCGTTTTTATCGGCCGTGTGCCCATACACTCCTGCCCTTTGCCCCGCTCGGTGCATTTCCACGTCCTGCTGATGAGCAGGCTGGGACAGGCTGGTGACACCGTGCTTTATCTCTTGCAGTGAATTAGTCAGAAGAACTATCTTCTATTTAAACTCCTCGCTTGTCTGCCACATAAGGATATTGCCTCCGTTCTGCGTGCTCAACGGCCACCTACTATCCCAGCTCTGCTATGGAAGCAGGTTTGAAGCAGTGGCAGGGTGGCAGCTCTGGCAGGGTGGGTGCCATAGGTGTGGTCAGCTACTCAAAGCATAACTGCTTGATCATCGTTTTTCCCACAAAGAGTGACTTCCCACCGATGCCAATCCTGACAGGTTTGGAACGAATTAAGTCATTTCATCCATTTACCCTTTTTTTATAGTATGTAAATGAATACATTTTATGGAATGCCAACGCACGGTTTTAGTTTTCTCTGCCATTTCTTGGATATCACTGCCTTCCTGACATCTCAGTAGGTTACAATAGTGTGACTGTATTGAAATCAATTATCCTGGAGTTTGCGAGTAAGAGATCCTGACATGAAAGTGTCCAGATCCACTCTGTTTCTCCCTGATGGCAGTCATGCTATTGTACATCTGGACTTGGGAATACGTTTGCTGCTGTTTGTCATCGCAGTACTGCAAGGTGTTTGATTGTAAAGCTCATTTCATGGGTTTGGAGCTTGGAAATGATCGGCTTGTCATTTTACAGAGACTTTGGTCGTTGAACCACACCAGATTTGTGTTCTACTGTGAGACTGTTCTGTGGCTGGAGAAATGGCACATTTCTATTTCTGACGTATTGTCGGTTATGACTATTTCTGTCTGGCCAGCACAAAAGAAATGGAAAGAATGTTATTTAGGACTTTTAGGTGGTTCGTCAAGACTGTTACCAATTCATCAGATCCTGCTTTAGCCTGAAAATATAATTGATATTTTACAGATATATCAGAACACATTGTCGGGAAGCGATGTGCACAGTACAGTCAAGTCTGAAGAACCAGCTTCAGCACTGTCTGCTAACAAGAATGTTCACACTCCCTTTTTTAATCTTGTCAGCATAGCTTCAGTGAGGTGCTGATTTCTATAGTGCCTAAAGCACTGTCCCTATGTGCAATGCTAGTAGTTCATTTTGACTCGTTTTATTATTTCGTTCAAGAGATGCCGTTCATGACTTGTGATTTTTCAAGCAAGGCTGCAAATTGCATGAAATATAATAACCATAAAGAAATGTAGATTTGCCAAATTATTATTTTTTAATATAAGGACCATATAATTCCTGTTCTCATGTTCAGTTTTTAATGAGGAGGAAGGGGATAAAATCATGTTTTTCTTTCCTCTCCCTAACTCTTCCTTTCGTAGGGATGAGCACATTGATTCAGGTCGTGGTTCAGGAAGCAGTGCTTTGCATTGCCATGCAGGTAATCTTCTAAAATCCCTTGGTTTGAAATTTGCGTTAGCCAGGGTGGATCACTGCTTGCCAAAAGAGACTCCTGACTTTAAAGGTTGGAAGAAAACATCCACTTAATATGTGTAAAGTGATGTGGTTTCTGCCCTTCAGGCTGTGAGATATTTTAATGGGAGTAACCACTGACACTAACTGTAAGTGGAGAGAATAAACACACACGGATAGATGCACACTGATACGGAGTGTGGCTGAACACGGGACTATTAGAGCTTGTGGCTTAATATAAGAGACTGCGTCTCATGTTTAGAAATGACTGTACTGTAATCTTTATGTATTCAAAGTTTAGATTGTGAATTATTTCATGTATGTAAGAAGAAGAATCTTGTAAATGACCTGTTTTTGGTTAACCAATGGTTTGTTGCACACATTATTGTTAAATAAATCATTATATTAAAAGAGGCTAATGTTACAGTATTTTTAAATGTCTCTTGGATATTCTTTCATCCTGCTTACCTGTCTGGCCTCCTGTCGTTTTGATCTTCGTTTTCGGTTTTCATCTGCTTATACCGTTGCACCAAAATTTCAGTACAGAAGTAAAAGCCAGCATCTTGTTTTCTGTTTTAAATATTGTAACTGAAGGGATAAATACTGTGCCCTGATCCTGAGCTGTTTCTGTTACAGATTACCGATTCTTGCTATATAGCTCCTGCACATTCACAAAAGTCTCCAAAGACCTAATTGAAGTAGGTGAGCTCTGTACCACTCACTCCCAGATAACTTATCTGCTATATTCCCATTTTGTTCAGATTACTGAGAGCTTGGACATAACTACTTGGGAATATTGGAAGGACTTTTTACTTGTGCCGTTTTAGAGCAGCGGTAGAAAAAATAAGCACAGTTTTTTCATATTTTTAGGCTTTGCTGACACATTCTTGCAGGTGCTCCTTTTTTCCAGTTTATACAGGGTTACCTGGTAGTTGGTTGTGTCCAAAAACAGTGCTGCTCCTTTTCCATGACTATGATGCACTGAGCTAAGTGAAACCTATGTATGCTGCTAAGTTAATTATTGCAATTTATTTATTTAAAGGTATCATTTTGCATTTTTTAATTGGGCTAGCTGGTAGCCAGTACTGTACATAAGAATATTTTTAAAGTACTAACAGTTGGAGGTCTAATGACATAGAACCATACATCTATAATTCCTTTTTCAAATGAGGTAGACAGAAGATGTTGTCCAAAAGACTTTTACAGATTTTTATAGACTGGGTTTATTAGATGATGCAACTTGTACTCTGAGCATCAGTGTACAATTAAGAATCAGTGACTGAAGGCAATCATTATTACCTAGATCACTGCAATGTATTAAGACTACTTAAAGTGACTTCTGCAAAGATTAAATAGAAAGAACCTAAAGTTATAATTGCATTTGGCACTGTGAGCTTATTTCTGTAGAAAAGTTGAATTTGAATTATTTAGTGGGTGGTTCAGAGTTAGCTGGTGATAAAATTGGTTTCTTAGAGGAGAGCATTGCTTTCTCACAGAACTTAATTACATGCAAAAAGGTTACGTAAACAGCAGCTTTAAAACTGGTTTGTATATTTAAAGCTCCGCACAGATGTCCACCCTGCAGGCTGCTCGTTTTAACCACAACTCAGCGACACCCTCAAGAACAATTGTCTTGGTTGGAAAGATATGAAAGCTCATCCTTATCATTTATTCACATGCTAACCTTAAGGGTCTGTCTGCCATGGAGCCATTAATTCACACTTTCATATAGATTAAAAACCATGAGCCTCTGTCATCTGCTGATGGTTGCCATTTAGGAAAGAATTTAAACTTACGATTCTTAAAGGAGATGGATAACATTTTAGTTGATGGTTGTTGATATGTTAGATGATTTATGATATTCTTATGATTCTTATTCTTCTATATTCTTATCATAAAATTGTTGTGTTTCTCTCAAACACATTACACATGTGTGTTCCTCTGTAAGCAGGAGCAGTTTCTGCCTTTTAATTAAGGTTACAGACTCAGACTTCTAAACCGTATAATTTGGGGAACATGAGAACGGTTACTTCAGATTCTTGCGGGAATCTAAAATATCATCTGGGGTCCATCAGGAAATGCTAAGTTTTGCTCTTAACTGGCTGACTGAGAACCCTTCCACTTCTTAATAACTGAGTTTAGAATGAATCCATCCATTTTTTAACTGCTTCATCTAACTCGGGGTCATGGGATAGAGCCTATCTGGGCAAGCAACAGGATGCCAGTCCATCACAGGGCTCACACAGACACTGGTGCAGACAAACTCACCAGGGCCGTATGCTTTAGGATTGTGGGATGAAAGTGGAGTACTTGGAATTAACCCCAAGCAAACTCCTCACACGTGGCACTTCAGGAATATAACCCAGAGCTCCAGCACTGTGAGCCTGCAATGTTAATCACCATGCCTACTGCACGCAGAGATATTATGGGTATTTTAATTGTTTTTGCAGACTCCTTCTTGAGGTATTTGGAAAGCTACTTGTGAAAACTGTCCAAGGCTCTGAAGACCATTTCAAAGCGCTACGCATAAACACAGTGGATATTCATGAAATAACAGGAGAAAGGTTACAAACCAGAGGGGGCTGTCTAACTGAGACAAGGATCTCATCCAGCTGTTTCTCGAAAGAAACCAGGGTACCGGCTTCAATCACATCCGGTTCTGGATTCAAACCCAGATGGTGACTCGGCAGCTAAGTGTTCTAACTCAAAGCTTGGGGGAAAAAAGGAATACAATTTAGAAAAGGGACCAAAAAATCAACTGCCATCAAAAATGAAATTATTTCTCATTCATGCCTTTCAAAAAACAAAGCGGTTGACCAACATTCATCATCATGTTTATAGGTAAACCATCTACAGTAGTAACATAGCCATCCTTCCTCTGTTTATTGTCCATCTTGTTTATATATAAATCCTTACCTAAGAATGTTATCATTCTTGTTTATATATAAACCATTATTTTTGTTTTCAGAAATAGTACCTCATACCTTTATTTTTGATGAATTTAGAAAAACCGATTATTTTCTTCTTGCCCAAGCAGTGTATTTTATGTCTTAACGTAAATGTCAGAGCTGTGAGTATTGTGCAGTGTAAACATGCAATTTGTCATGTTGTGTCATTGAGAAAATTGTTTCCTAAATCCAGATTTAACAACACCACTCCCTATAAAAATGTCATGGCAAATGTCTTCTAAAATCATTAGAAAAATCACACTGAGACTATGAACAAGCTGCAACAATTCCCAGAAGCCTCTCCAGTGCTGCGACACCCAGGCTCAATTAAAGCAGCACCTTGCCAGTTAGCTGGTTTCCTACCTGTGCGCAGCAGAACGGTGCAAAATCCCTATTGGTTTAATTAAACAGACACATTAACGTATTGTTGAAAAGCCTTTTATGCTGCTTGTTAACGTAAACAATTGTTCAATCTCATGACATCTGACGACACTGTAACAGAGGAAGAATGCAGCGTGTGCCAATTAATTTTGGTTACTTCCCAACGAGTTTACACACACACACACCAGGCAAGTGAGGTATTGCGGATTACCAGTCACCTGTGTAAAAACTACCTATTCCCCGAAGCAAGCAAGCAAATAAATAATTAATGAGGATCGCTGCCTTTCTGCCTGAGGACGCTGCTCGACCTTACCAACATGGAGAGGGAGTAGCACCAACTCGTGACGTCACGGCTGTGGTCTGACGCATTCATGAGAGACGGGAAGGTAAAATGCCTCCGTGAGAAAAGAGAGAGGGGGGAGTGTGAAAAATACATTTAAGCTGTATGCATGTGTGTTTTATAAAGTGGGGAGAGCAGAACTGGAAAGTGTTTTTTTCCCCCTCCCCCCTGAGCTCGGCGACCTTGCGGGACGGGAGCCGTGGCGTGACGGCTCAGCTCCACCCCCACCCCCCCCCCGTGGCGCCGCGGGTGGGATCCGGGCGAGCGAGCGGCGGCGCCGCAGTCCTGCCGTCCTGTAGCCTGTAGCCTGTGTGCGTGTGCCGGCTGGCTGTCTGGCTGGGTAGGGTAGCCTGGGCGAACAGTGTCCGCGACAGCCGCCGCTGGAATCGGGGCAGAACCTGCACGTCGAGGCGGGGAGATGGGGAACCGAGTGGCCCGGGACGACTACGAGTGGGTCTACACGGACCAGCCGCACGCCGACCGCAGGAAGGAGATCCTGGGTGAGCCGAGGCGCGCTAGCCCGGGGGTGGGGGCTTCTCTGCTCTTCGGGGGGGTCCGGTCGCCTCTCTCTCTCTCGCTTTTTATTGCTTTCGTGGCTAAACCGGGCTCAAGTCTCTCGCCGGTCCCGTGTGGGCAGAGACGGGCTGGACGACGCAGGGACCCGGTGGGGTTTAGCGATTTTAGCGTCGCGCCTGTTGCATTAAAATGATGCCGCCGCCGCGGTGGGTGTGAGCTCACCCGGCGGCCGTGGTCGCCGAGGTGACCCCGTCTGTGGGGGGGCCGGGCAGCGGCTGAGCCCCCCGCCGGGCTCCGCGGACCGTTAGTCCGGCCGGAGGCTGAGGCCGCTCCCTCCTGGTGGGGCCGCCGCCGCTTACACAGGCCTCGGGTTAGTGTCGAGACGCGCTGAGACTCCCTTTTTGGAGAGGTTTAGACCTTAAAATAAACATGCGGTTTAACCTGGTCGTTGTCGCCAATTTTAGTTTTTTTTTAAAAAAAAAAACAACAACAAGAAGTCGTCACCCCGCCGCGCCTCGGAGCTCTGACTGGTCCTGTCAATGTCAGGACCGCGACGAGCAGCTCCAGTTTGATCACCAAGACACCGGAAGCGTTTTAAGGGATTTTAATGTGAAAAGAGCAGCTTGTGGGTCGTTCCTGGCCATCGCCGTTTCACGACCTGAGCCTGCCGGGCGGTCAGGGGCATCGGGGCCGGCCGGCCGCGCTTGAGGTCTGGGCCCTGTTTGTGCTCTCTTCAGGGGCGTAGCGCCCACACCTAGGGCTACAGGCTGGGGAAGAAACCGTTAGCAGCGACCGCCATCGAGGTCCAGGACCATTCCAGGTCTCCAGCTGCTCTTATGCGTTGAAAATGATGATCGGAGACCACAGTCCACGCGTGTTTCCTCCCATTGCGGAGCTGTGTCCTGCCCGGAGTCGTGCTGGGCTGGGCGGCTGACGATCTGGGTTGAACACGTAGCCCGCAGACCGAAGGCTTTTAAAAAGCGCACAAGTAAACGGTTATTCCGTTTCCCCCATCACTGCATTAGGGTTTTTGTTAAAGTCGCGTTTGTGTGGTTCAGTGTTCTTTTATTTGAGTGGGTTTTATTTTTATTTAGCCAAAACCCAGTCGAGCAATCTCGTACTGCGATGGGCGCTTTCCTGCTCCTCGGGGCTTAGTGACGCACACGCACAAGAATTTGCATTAGGTTCCTCCTGTGTGCCGCTGTTGGCAACCATGATGTTGAAACTTTTGGTTAAAATTGAGCATTAACCACTGTAGTCATTGGACTTTGCTAGGTTTAAAGCGAACTCGTTAAAGACGGAGATACGGTTTCCAGAGGTAAAACCTACCTTTGTACAAAACCTTGAGTGCTGTAAATATTAGGGGGGCATCTTAAAATAAGGTTTGAATGGAACTGGTCTAATACAGTTTATTCCTGTCATGGTCACTTAAAGTAAGTGTCAGTTCTCCCAGATTGTGTATAAAACACTGTAAAGGTTGGTGTTCCTAGACCACAACTGTGTTGACAGAATTGGTGCAGTCTTGTCCTTGGCTTTGAAATTTTTTGTAATAAAACATGTATGGAAAAAATATTTTTAGTAAGGCCGCCCGGCTTTTAACCCCATGCAATGCATGAATATACTGCTGATTTCTGAATATTCAAGGCTTTTTTTTATTTGCAGGCTTGATGTTTAAGGGGTGGTCGATTTTACAGATTTAAGTCATTTGATTTCCATGGCTTTGATTCAGTGCTGCTGTTTGCAGTGGCTTTACACTGAGAAGCCATTGTCGTCTAGTGCTGATAAACCCTCTCGCCTCGAACATTATCGGGCCTGGTGAAGCATATTGCCTCAACTGCAGGGGGAAGGGGGTGTGTTAAGTTTCTGCCAACTCCTGCAGCCTGGGTTAGACTCTGACCAGCAGTGTGCCTTGTTCTAAGACAAGGGAGATGAGAAGTAAGATTGATGCAAAGAGGTAACCACACTGCGCTGGTTTGCATACTCAGACAAATCTATTTAAATATTGCATGAAAGGAACAACAATCCTGTTTGATTGTGCTTTACGCCTCTCTGCACCCTTTGAGTTCTCCTGCAGTGGCAGCACCAGCTGGCCTTGGCACTGCGTGGGGAACTGGTGTCTGAGTGGACCCTGTGCGTGAGTCCTGCAGCGGTCTGGTGTCCTGTCCACTCTCTGGCATCTTCTTCTGCCCTGTGCTTCTGGGACAGGTGCCGGCTTCTTGCGGATCTCCCGAGGAAGAAGCAGCTTTCTGACGATGGCTGGAGACAGTCAGTAATGGGTTGCAAAATGTTAATCTTGCTGAAACCCAAGGATCTGGGTCTTTGTGGTTAATCAAAGTCCACAGCGATCCACAATAATGTGATCCTATTACATTGATATTGTCTTAGTCTTCTTGCTTTGACATCTGTATTTTATTCCTTGCATGGGGAACACTTAAGGTAATTGTATGTCTGTGAGGTGCCTCCTTTGTTATCTAATACTTCAGACTGACAGATACTTACTCGGCTTTAATTATTTATTGCACATACTAGGCAGTGGGTATTGTCACTTCAGAATACAGTAGCCAGTGGAACCTTGTACCATGAAAAAGGTTATAAAGGTGACTTCTTAAAGACTGATGTATTAAAGATCTGAAATCAAACTATGTGTCGTTGAAATGCGCAGACTCCCTAGAAGATCAGTTTATTGTAAAAGCACAGAGAGGCAGATCTTGAGACTCCTGCATGCATCATGTTTTCTCAGTAAATGGCCATCTTGACCCTATCTGAAAGTCGCTCGTGGCAGAGCTCTGTTAAAACCTTTCTTCAAAGAGTTATTTGTAGGTAATTAATTTGAGCACAGGGAGCAGCGGGGAAGTAGTGTGTTGAAGAGATCTCTAAAAATGTCAGTACCCAGCCTGACGCTATGCTTCCGCTTACAGTTTTAGTCTGGAAGGATCATGAATGAAAACGTTTGCCAGAGTAACGATATCTGAACCTCCTTGAGAGCTGAGCATCGCAGACCGGAGGCCTTCTTGCTGTGCTGCACAGAGAACTAAGCTAGATGCCCTTCCTGTCTGGATACAAATTAAAAAAAGGGGAATATTGATCAATAAAATGTTTGCTTTAGATCTGACTCTGAAATACAATAATTCATCCTGCGTTTGTGGGTAATGGGTGATCTCGGCAAGAACTGAGGGGAAGAGGGAGTTATTCTGTTGCCTGTTGCCAGTTTGTTTCTCCTGGACTTGGACGACTACAGACCTTTTATATCTCGACTGATCTGAAACCCCTCTCGGGAGGAAATTGGCCATTTTAGGTTCTACCTCTTTCTAGGTGCAAAGTGGTGACCTCAAGAATCTTGGATTAGAAAGAAAACTATTGTTTCCATCTCCAAAATGTATTGACAAAAGGGTTTGTGCTGTCTTATGTTTTAAAGGGGTTAATTTTTATTGTGTGATTTAAAGATTAACGATCCTTTAATTGGAAGCATCAGTGGTGCTGAGGGAAATGGTTTATCAAATAAACAGGACATGGGGACTTTGAATTGCTCAGGTGTATAATCCTTTGTCATCATACAGGTATTTAAAGACATTTAACGTGCAAACATTCACATAATAAACCTGCTCCTGCGCGTTTTGTGCAAGGTCAACACGATCTTGAGAAGAATTTGCTACAGTTGACCAGACTGTTTGTTTTGCTCTTTGAAGAGTTTGGATCACTTGTCTACAGAACAATATGTTCTGCAATCCCCTGGACTCCTGCCAGCCTGATATTGAAGTTGAGTAATGTTATTTTAATCTATCGGTGACACGATCTGAATGTAAATAGAAGACGTATGAGTTGTTTTAGTTTACTTTATGCAAAGGATTTGCCCCATGAAGCTGAAGCGGGGCTTTCTGGAGCATTCTCATCGCTGGACACCTCTGGTGTTGTATGGGCCTGTCCCACTCAGTTGGCGAATGAAGGCTGTGTTTCGAGAACACCTACTGCGTCGGATGGCTGAGCTTTCCCAGCGTTGTTCTGACACAGGGTTGTTAGCTGTGCCGAACAAGACCGACTTGATCTGTCTCTGTGCTGAAATGCAGTCGGAGGGGAATTCTTACCGCTGGCTGAGCTCCACCCCTGGTCTCTTCTGCTCGCAGTCCTGCGCCGGCCGGGCTGCGGCGAGCCTGCAGTCACGCTGAGCTCCTCGCACCATTTCAAACCCCGTTCTGGAACCAGACCACAGCAGGGCACATGCAAAAACCTGACTTTGGATGTTAGCACAGTCCTCCGTAATATTGTATTCTCTTACAAATAAGCTGACAACTTGGGCTTTTTGCAAATTTGTGTGAAAGAAAACATTTTTTTAAGGCTGTTGCATTGATGTAAATTAAACCCAACATTCCCTCACTTAGTTCGCTAGTCAGATTTTCTGAACGGCAGCAGTGACTTGTAAAAAAAAAAATTGCCTGAGAAATGTTGATGAGGAAAACTTTAAAAACAGCAATTCTACACGACATATGTGTGCAGTAAAATCTCAAGAGGTGAAAGCAGCAAAATGAGCTGGACAAGCATTGAATAAATATTAAACTTGTAACTAAAGTACAAACCTCTGGCAGTTCGTGGATTTTTTTTATTCTAATGTATTACTCAGGGTCTCTGAGCTCTGTGTTAGAGGTCTCCATGGTCTGTTCTCAGTCGGCTCTTCTCCTCTGCCTCGCCCATCAGGCACAGAAGTCTGTGCTGGCATGGTCAGCCCCTGCCAGGCTAAGAGCGGCAGTGGTTGATGCCTTGGATAGTGGCTGGCAGCATGGGTTCTGTACCAAGCTGATTTGTGCAATCCCCCAATACTATAAGGCACATTTTTACAAGGTCTTTCTGATTTTCCTGGACTGCCCTACCTCTGAAAGCCTGAGGGGATTGTTATTTCACTTCAGTCTGTTACATGACCTGTTCCAACAAGTGAGGAAGTTGAGCTGACCTGGATTTCTGCATGTAAAGAATGGAGAAATTCCACTTTTGTCACACAAACTGGGAATGTCTTTTGGCTAATTCAGAGTTCTCGTACTATTGGGCACATCTGCTGTGTTCTTTTTCACCCTGTGAGTGTAGAGTTAACAAAGTTTTAAAACATAAGGAAGACTTTCCCGTTGCATCAGATAAGAAATGAGCACTCCTTTTTGTCTGTTAATTAGTCAAAGCCAGAAATTAAATGCATTTTATCCATTTGTTGGATTTTCGTTAGTTTTATTTATAGTAAAATAGGTGTGTTTTTGTTCAATTCAAATAACACTTAATTAGTTCTGTTCGAATAAGAGACATAGACTAGCTTAAAGATTAAATGTGGTTGTCATTACTTACATTAATTAGCATATCTGTGTCTAGCAGCTATCGTGATCAAAATCTTTTAAAGGATCAGGCTTGAGTTGGTACTTTTCATTGATGCAGTACTACAGGGAAGAAGTGTAGATTTAAATATTTGCTTAGCAGATGCCCTTATCCAGGACATCTTTCTGCACATCCAGACTTTACATGTGGTAAGCACCAGAACAAGATAAGTTAATGAAAATAAGGGCAGGGCTGGCAGGAAGTGCAGCAGAAGCAGCGTGAGACAGTGAGAATGAGCAGGACACGGGTGCTGTGGGTTCCATGCCGGAATAAAGGCCTTATGGAATATATTCCACATTTACTGTGGACCCGTGGATGGATCAAACTGCATCATGAATCGGAAATGCTGTGAAAGAATAAGAGGCTTTTTGATACGAATAGAGATGCTCTTCCCTTGAAAGGTCTGGGAATTTGGAAGATGAATTTGCTTCTTTTGCTGTGGCGGTGGGAGAAATGCCCTTTGTGCTGAAATGAAGTGACAGAAGGTATTGGCCTGAAGCTTCTATATTAAGACCCCGGCTTTTAAGAATCGGGGGTCATGTGCCAAAACTCCTAATTGGTCGTAAATTTGTATTTTGTAGTGTCTCAGCACTCCCATAACATTTTTCTAAAGTTACGACATTTGGGGATTTTGCTTACTTTCTTTCCTGACTCTCTTACCAGCGAAGTACCCGGAGATCAAGTCCCTCATGGGCCCTGACCCCAGGATCAAGTGGATCGTGTGCATGATGTTGCTGGTCCAGTTCCTGGCGTTCTACCTGGTCAAAGACCTGGACTGGAAGTGGGTGCTGTTCTGGACTTACGCTTTCGGCAGCTGCATCAACCACTCCATGACGCTGGCCATCCACGAAATCTCCCACAACACGGCCTTCGGCAACAACCGGGCCATGTGGAACCGCTGGTTTGCCATCTTCGCCAACCTGCCCATTGGCCTCCCTTATTCTGCCTTCTTCAAGAGGTACCACCTGGACCACCACCGCTACCTGGGCGGCGACGGCATCGACGTGGACATCCCCACCGCCTTCGAGGGCTGGTTCTTCTGCACGCGCTTCCGCAAGTTTGTCTGGATCATCCTGCAGCCCCTCTTCTACGCCGTCCGCCCGCTCTGCATCAACCCCAAGCCCGTCAGCCGCCTGGAGATCATCAACCTGGCCGTGCAGGTGGCCTTCGACGCAGGCCTGTATTACCTGTGGGGCATCAAGCCCCTGGTGTACATGCTGGCTGGCTCGATGCTGGGCATGGGCCTGCACCCCATCTCCGGCCACTTCATCGCCGAGCACTACATGTTCCTCAAGGGCCACGAGACCTACTCCTACTACGGCTCCCTCAACCTGCTCACGTTCAACGTGGGCTACCACAACGAGCACCACGACTTCCCCAGCATCCCCGGACGCAGGCTGCCTCTGGTAGGTTCCCTGGGAAGCGCTTCCTTTCTCCTGCTCTGCTGAGGTGGGGAGTCGGCCTTTTGAAATAAGTGGCGGTGTCTAGTTGGAAGGGTTTGATTTCAGGAACCGATTTAAGCTTTGAACAGCTCGGCTGGCAGGGAGGGTGCTGCTGACTACACAGGACGTCTGGTTTGATGAGTTACTTGTTGGTAAAAGTGCCGGAAGGGAGGGATTGGATATAAGGTTGACAGTTTCTTCAGAATAACTGGCGCTCTGTGGAGAAGCGTGTTCATGCGCGGTTCAGCAGTGTTAAAGCCTGTAATGGTCTTGTTCGTGAAAGCAGGGGGGGGGTTGTAAAAATGCAAGTGTTGCTAATTTCCTGGACACATTCACCATTTAAAAAAAAAAAAAAAACTTGTTTGAGGGTAGTTTCAGTAGTCGGATGTTTGAGGAGGTTAATTCCTCTGACCAAACAGACCTGATAGCATTCCTAACTGGCTCTGGTAGCTTCGAAAGCATGCTTAAGGAATTTAGTTTTCCGAGTGTAAGCTTAAAAGGTGTTGAAAACTGGCTTTTAGGGATTGTCAAACTGAAAATGAAAACCTGGTGAACTGCAGGCTTTCAGGGGAGTGCTGGTGCTTTCCTCGCTGTCCATGATGGTTGGCCTGGATTGTAAATGTTGCTGCTCTCCTCATCAGGTGAAGAAGATTGCAGCTGAGTACTACGATGACCTGCCACACTACACCTCCTGGGTGAAAGTACTGTATGATTTTATCATGGATGACACTCTGAGTCCCTACTCTCGTGTGAAGAGAAAGCTGAAGGGAGAGATCAAGCAGGAGTGAACTCTTCACTGAATCCTGATGCCATCAAAGCCCCAGACTGCTCTCACCCTGTCCTGCAACAGCAGCAATGTCTTTTTTTATGTATCCTGCTATAAATATGTGTATATGTATACAAATTCCAGTGTACATCTTGTTTCCTTTTAGCTTTTCAAAATGAGACCACAGAAAGGGGTTTCTTTCTTAAATCCTGAACGGGACTTTCCTCTGTCGGCAATATGACAACCATTCACAAGAAGAGCGAAAGAATAATGTCATGTATTTGTATGTATATACGTTTTAACTTAAAGAACAGACCAAATTATTTGGCATCGGATGCTGTTTTTATCACGGGGTACAATCCCTTGAGTAAAAAGGGTTGGAATGGTTTGAGCCATGTATTACCCTGTGGCCTAGCCCACAGTCTAAATCTGCTGTAGGCTCTTGAAAATAAGAAACAGGTTCTGCGCTTTTAATTCCTTGTGCATCTCCTTGTAGTGACAGTGAGTTCTAGGATCCAGCATGGACAAGGTGACAGGGGTGGGAGGGGGGGGTCTCCGTATTGAGCTCCAGATGTTTAGTTCACTGGATGGCCAGGAGTGGTATCTGTGAGGTGAAGGTGAATTGGGATTAGACCCCTGTGCTCTGCTTCAGGGAAAGGGATGGCCTGTTCCAAAACCATTTTAAATCTTGAAAAGACAGCTCCTAGTGTAAATGTTTGTTGTTTTTTTTTTTTTTTTTAATGGGGGATAAAAACATTTAAACTGTTTAAACTATTCCATTTCTTATTTAAGTGTTTAAAAATGTGCATTCGCCAGTCTGGGGTTATCAGGCATGGTTGAGTGTAGTTTGTGTGCAAGACCATATTCTCGTTGCACCTTCGTTGTGACTCATACAGGTAAATCTCAGTGCTTTCATAACCCTCCTATTTTAGCAAACCATTTAACTATGCTCTAAAGATTTGTCATCAGAGTATGATGCAATTGGCTTATTTTACACTAAAAAAACAAATGTGTTCAAGTACTGCAAAGATTCAAGTTTTTTTTTTTAATGCTTCAAAATCCAGATTTAGGTTTAGACTTAAAGCTGTCAGGGTGGATTACTTTCTGAAAACCCAGGATGGGTTTTTAAACTTGAGAATTTTTAACTATTGTATAGACCTTATACTTGATTAGAGATCTGTAATGTGGTAGGGTTTTTTTGCTTTGAAAATGTCATCATTATTAAGAAGTCTTTAACTGCAGTAACCCTGCTGTAGTTGAAGTGCTACATGCCACCACCAGCAAAGTCTTTTGAGGGTTATTACATGTCAATGCAGTTAGTATACTTGAATTTATATCTATAAAGCTTTTGTGCTAAAACTGCAGATAAAATAAATTCCTGTATCTTGATAGGCCAAAAACTTTCACTGCACGTGTAGGTGTCAGTACATGTGCATTTAGAATCTGAAATACCACCAATTTGATCTTTACAAGTGTCCTTAACATTACGAGAGAGAATGCAGCAAACGTTTTCTGCTTCAAAATGGCTTCTGTCGCTTTTGTAATGCGCACTTAGAGTAATGAAGCTGTATGTTTTGACCATAGCAGTATTACAAGAACTTGAGGGAAAGCATGTGAAAAGAACAGCTTTTATTTGAATGGCTTTGAGGGCTTCACGCCTGGTAGGGAGCTGTGGCGTGCGAGTGAACTCGATGCTTTCTCTCCAAGTGGCCGCAATCTCCATCCTTGGCGTGTCATACTCTGCGTATGTATGCTTTGCTAAATCTGTTTAATAAATTGTATTAAAATGTATTTGTTTTCTTATTCTATACTATGTTTAGAACCTAAACTGTAGTACAGTAGTTTTCACCTTCATGATCTGTCAATCCTATCAAAACCACATATAAGAAACTGCAGTGTAAAGGAACTACAGAACGATGGGAGTACAGTGGGAGTCTCCCTCTTATCAATTCGAGCCCCACAGAGTACAGTCACGTATTTCCCCTTAATCTTTTTCCTTGTCTAGAACTCCAAAGTTCATGTCTGTGCCTGAACTGCAGACTTGTACATTGACCAGCATGAGTTTGAGTCTGTCTCATCTTGCAGTCCCAGGATCTGTAGGAGGTAAAAGGCGTGGTTTCTTTGAAGAGCCCAAGGCTGTAGTGTGGCAATATCGAGCTTCTCATGTAAACTATAGAAAGCATTGTTGCATAGATGTACAGCAAACCAGTAAAGAAAAGCAGAAGGCTCACCTTATTTTGAAAAAGACTGCCTGAGGCCAGTGAAATTTCACGTGAATGTCAATTTTAGTTTTTTCGAGTGCTCATTTTCATAGATCCACTCTGTCATGTCATGCAAGGCAGGGACTGGTGTAGCTTTAGCTACTGCAGATGAGGGCATCTCATAAGGAAATGGGGCTGGCCTGTTAAGACTATCCTGACCAGCATGCACTATATGCAATTAAGAAATTGCTCCTTTCTCCGTCACCCCTCCTGCCTATACCTGCCTACCTTCCTCTTCAGCTAACTCCCCCATAACCTTTACAACTCTGTGCTTTTTCAAAACAATTTCGGCTGATTCCCCTCTCTTGACATGCTCGGTGACACACTCCCTGTCAAATTAACCTAGCCAGCATCTCCTAAAGATGAGTGCTAACCACAGTACCTGGTGAACAGACATGATAGACTCCACAACAAGCCTTACTCTTCCTGAACCACACCCCGGACGCTTGACTGTTGAGGTAGCAATGTCAAGCACCATGCTGCCCAAACTGGTTGCATTTAAACTGATTAGATCATGTTAGAAAAGTCTTCTTTTCCGATTTTATTTTGGAAAAGGGTACAGGAGTATTTTCATGTACACGTTGAAAAATAGTTGGCAGTCACCCTGTGTTCATTCCGGTAGTGGCTTGGTAACCGGTGTGATAGGATCTCACCATGGCTTAGGGCTCTGCTTTGCAGTTCCACCATGTGACCACAAGTCAGTAGAATGATTTTGTGCAGATCCTGTGATGCTTTTTAATTATATTATGCTGAGGGAAACGGGAATCCCCAGCACCGCTGTTATTTCCTGGAAGTGTCGATTCCAAAGGTCTCTGCACTGGATCGGCCCTCTAGTCCTGTCCCGAGCTGATCGGACTATTGGCTCTCTCAGCGGCTTAATGACTCTTTCAGCAGCTCGTACATGCGCTGGTCCTGTGCAGAGACAAGAGGGGCACGTCAAAGTTCAGGATCATTTTTTTTTTTAAAAAGAAAATTGTTCCAAAAAAAACTAATGTGCAAAACAAGTAAACCTTGCATTTACTTGTGTGCCTTTCAGTTCTTAAAGGTGTGCTATGTACTATTCTACATAAATATGTAAGTACCAGTACAAAGGGTCACCGAAGTAGACCACATGCATGCTGTCAAGTGTTTCAACAATCAATAATTAACTTATGCAGAATTCAGAACAGAAAAGAGAAGTTTGATCTCTTATGTGACAAGATTATCAAAGTGAGGGGCGCTCCACTCACAATTTAAGTCACATGGCACTAATGTAAATTAAAACTCAAAGATTCAATCAAGCCCTCAAACCCAGAAGGCTTTTAACAGAACACCACCGCTCAGAGGAAAAACCGGTTTTGAAGCTCGTGCTTCTGCTTCACAAGAGCTAGCAAGAGTATTGCAGCAGAGAATCGGAGGCAACTCAATATGGAGACAATACTGGGCAGCAAGAATGAAGAACCCTCTTCTACCTGGCTGTTGTCTGAAAGTTGAGCAGTACATCACAGGGGTGATTCCTTACTCTCAGAAACTGCAGCTCCCAAATTCAGCCCACAGCCTTTGTACTTTTAATCACACTTGAAACTGATATACCTATAAGAAGGTATTAGTTACATCGTATCCAATTGGGGGTTGTGGGGGAGATGGATCCTCTCCCGGCAAACAATGGGTGCAGGCATGATTCACCCCGAATGGGATACCAGTCCATCGCAGGGCACACACGCACTTCCAAAGCCAATTAATCCCCCAGTATCTTAAGACTGCGGGAGGTAACCGGAGCACCCAGAGGAAACCCATGCACACACGGGGAGAACATACAGACTCCATGCAGACAGTGCCCCAGGTCCAGAACTGAACCAGGGCCCAAGTGCTGGGAGGCAGGAATGCTGACCACTGGGTCACTGTCCTGCCCCACTGTGTCAAAAAAGTTCATATTGCCCGTGTCGCTGTTTTGAAACACATTCCTGACCCACGCTGTCGGGAGAAGGAAGGAAGGAGTACTGTACAGCACTTCCGAAGGGCCAATCCTTCTTACCACGGCATGTGGAATGCAAACCTTTCCAATAATCTGGGGTATGCGTTCATACCAAAACAAACATTTTACAAGTTTCACACTTCATAATTAGAGACAGGCAGGAACAGAAAGCAAAACTACCCAGCTAAAACAGCAAAACAATGCCAGATATTCAATGATAAGTGACAATGACAAAAAGTGTCTGAAGATAAAAGGAAGGGTGACTGGTTTTAAAAGAGTGGGTCCAGATTTGTTGTTGTAGAAGAAATCCTTCAAATATGCCCTGGGCTTCCATGCACACAATAAGCCCTTTCCCCACTCCACTGTAGCACATGGTGATCCACAGGCTGATGGAACTCTGCGGTAGCGCATGTGCTGACTGTGTCACCCAGTAGGTGGTGCTCATGCCTCACATGAGCCTTTAAATAACAGTGACTCCTTTTACAGGGCACCATTCACAGGAAGGTGAGGGGAAATCAAAATTCTAAACAGCGAAGGAAACACTCAGTGAGGAAGGAGAAATCTATTGGATAGCATGTACATACTACACTTTGTACAAGAAGGCAAAGCCAGAACATTGTCAGAACGTGTGCCTTAAGCATGCAACATTTTCTTCCAACAAACATGTGATGACCAGTGACGGCATCTCCAAGAGTGTATTCTGTAAAATGATTTAGGTACACTGTTCGCTGGTTAGAGACATGTACAACCAACCTCCTTCACTAAGAAACCAGTAGCAGAAAGTTGTGTGTCTCCCATAGATACAAATGAGTGTGAATAATGACCGATCGTGAGAATCCAACCAATCTTCTACCTTGGACAGAAAGCTTGGTTCACAACGGCACCTCTGGAGAAAACGCCATACGTCACTGAAGACTATGAAAAGAAAAACGAGGACAGGTGTCTGCAGGTACAGATCCGCAGTCATGGCTTACCTTTTTCGATACGGATGGCTTCACCTTCTTGAGGGCGTCCTGGAAGTTCTGTCTGCTGACCCTGATGTCCACCACTGGAGCTGCAGGAGAAAGTCCATTAGGAACAGCCCTTTCAACCCATAACCCCCTCCTTCGCCTCAGATCCTGCAAGTGCGCAGCCACCTTCAGCTCCTGTCCAAACATCATTTTACACGTCTGCGCTGAATTCTTCAGTATCTTTAGCTTTCGATGCAGTAGGGGTGCCTAAAGGGAGTATCCATTCATTTTTAACAGTGAATTTAAAGCGGTCAACATTTTTCCTGCACCAGGAAAGGTGCTTTATCAATATCAGCCAAAGGAGCTTCGAACAAGGCACCCTCTTCTCACGCCTTTTATATTCCCGGACGTGTAGAACAGGACGCCAAGCTGTTAAGGAACGGCGGAGGCGATTTCCCCTCCTGGGCCGACTCATTGTACCGCCAGGAAAAGAGACGGGGGCAGGAAGGAAACCCGTCGTGTGTCCGCTCTGGCGAGGCGGCGGCGGCGGCGCACTCACCAGCAGCAGAGGGGCGGGGGGGCAGGTGGACCCGCAGCGCGTTGATGGAGGCCTCCCTCACCAGCGCGGACAGATCAGCCCCCCTGCACAAACACACACACGCACACACGCAGAGTCAAGCCCGTCCGACGAACCCCAGCACGGCCGCGGAGGATGACCAGCGGGCTACAGCGTCCTCGTCCACACGTCGGGCGAGACGCGATGAATTCGGGGAGCTTAAAGGCAGACAGGCGGAAGGGCCAGGCTGTACGTTTCTAACCATCGCCTGCTTATTCGATTAATCGGGGGGAAAAAAGATGAACTGTGACCACGTGCTCGGGAAAAACAAAACTGCTTTGTGTGGAAAGGGCTGACGTTTCACAAGACAAACGGCACTCTGTGTAAGCAGCAGCTTCGAACAATGACTGATCTATTCCTAGCTGACACACTGCTTTTTACCACGCGAGTCGTGTTTCATGCCCTTGCACTTATTGAACGGGGCTGCTTCGTGGCTTTCCATCTCGCACGAGAAGACTGGCATTCGTTTTCCGGTTTTCCCCACGCAACAGAAAATAATTTAATCCCAGACGTACGTGAAGCAATCGCAGCGCTCGTCGGAGGCGATCTCCTCTAGGCTTACATCCTCTTCAAGCAGAGGCCTCTTCCCACCCTGGCAGAAAACAAGCAGCACTGAGAACTGTGACCGTACTCGCCCCTTTACATTTTAAGAAGTGTTTGTCATGTGCATGATGCCACTGTGTGCAGCTGAGCGATTTTTCTTGTCTCCCATATAAGAGATCTTTTTAACCAACTTGTTTTCAGGAGATGTCTTTGATCTCCACATACTGTCATTCCAAAAACACTCCATCTAAACGGAATGTATTCCAGTCTGAACTCTGCAATGAAGTCAGGTGCTGGCGTACATCAGGCTGATGTGGTTACAGTGCATCATGAGGCACAGAGGTCTGGTCCAATCTACACATGCTCCAACAATTCCAAATTCTCTCTAGAAAGCGCGGCCGAGAATGCGATTGACACACATGGCACTGAAATGCATAGGAAGCGAGCCCTCTGCAGGGCAGCTCAGGAACTGCGGGTTTAGCTGCAGCAGGCGGTGTCCAGTGGCGAGTCCCAGCCAGCGCGCCTCGCCCAGCGCGCCTCGGCCTGACCCCCCCTGCGCAGGCCAACGGGTCTCACCTTTGTGATCGTCTGCAGGATGGCGAGCCGGTCCGCAGCGGGCGGCAGGCCCACGTACAGCGTCTTGTCCAGGCGACCTGGCCGAAGGACCGCGGGGTCAATGATATCTGTCACAGCAAAGCAAAAAAAAAACGAGTTATTTCTGGGACACCATAACCCGAGTAGTGCATTGACTTCGTCCGAGATATTCTGCCACGCGTGAATTATGGAAATGAGCATTCATCAGTTCTCGCCATGTTACAATGGTGGGGGCAGGCATCTGACGCGTCTTCTTTTTCAGCTTCTAGCGTAATTAAATTCAAAGCTAGCAGCCGCAAACAGGCAATTCCGTCAGTAGGGCTCATCACTGTGACCAACGAAGCTGACGAAGAAATGATGGCTGTGTGAAGAGTATACGGTCACCATGAATCATGGCAACACTATGAAGTGAATTATGAATTACTTGATGGGTAAGTATGAACCCTGTGATTAACAATGTATATATATATAGGTATGCATATAACTGACATATTTAAAACGTCTGTTCTCTTAGACATCAACATATTTTAGATTACATGCATTGCCTAATAAAAATGCACTGTTTTCATCTTCCGTTTGTGAATGCGCCAATATTTTCAGAAAACAAATGTCTTCATTAACACTTATTAGGTGTTTACCCTGAAGTCAAGCAGTGTGGAAGCAGATTTTTATTACAAGAGAGTTAAAACTTGGTTTTAAGAGTTCTTTGATAATGTATCTTTTGCTTATTCTGCACAGTGGGTTGTGCTCAATTTGTTGATAAGGGTGTTCTAATCAAGCGTGTGGCTAAAGTCATCCCTAAATGAGGGTTCAAAGTCCAGAAGTCAACCACCGCAATAAAACTAGGCATCTTTTAGATTAATCAAATATAATCACAAGATCTTACAAAACTGGACTCCAAAGTATCTTATAAAAAGGAGGAACGAGCAGCTGACAAGATGACAAAACCCAGCTCGCACACCCCTTTTCCACTGGCGCACCGCAGGTATGAGCGCTCGGAATGGTAGCGGTCCAAATGGCTTCCACGGGCCGGTTCAGATACCAGCCAGAACCAGCCTGCGAAACTGCAGCCTCCCATTTGGTACCATTGGAAGTGGGCCAGGGCAGGAGGTTAACAGCTGCTGTCCTTGCACTTCTTCAGTCCAGTAGAGCAGGGAGAACATAAAATCAGCCCTGGTCTGCTGAAGAAGTGCATTCAAGAAGAGCTGGGACCTGCGATCTGAATTGGAAAAGCTTATGCTCACATCTGTCAGGGAATTAACTAAATTGCTTTGGAAAAAAAAAAGTGTATTCGTGTGCTATCAGCAGGTCACTACAAGATGGTTTTCTTCCTGGCCGCACGGCCTGTACCCCGGCTCAGGATGAGGCGTGGACAAACACCCGAGCCGGAGGTGCAAGGTCCACATCTTCTCGGCTCGGGCGCGCCCGTGGAAAGGCGGTTTTGCAGTGTCCGGTTGCTCACCTGGCCTGTTGGTGGCAGCCATGATGAAGACCTGCTTGCGTGCCTCCAAACCGTCCATCTCCGTGAGCAGCTGGTTGACAACGCGCACGCTGGCGCCGGACTGACAGCAGCACCAGGGGCACGGCGAGGAAGAGCACAGGAACACAGGAAGAGGCAGGGGGAGGCCGTGAGGCACATCAGTCTTGCACATTAACAGTTTGACACAAAAAAACACACCCTTTTCGTACCCGACAGAAACAAACCTCTATTCATGATACAGCTGGTAACTATTTTTTTACATTCCCTTAATCCTATGTAGCCCCACTAAAGCCACCAGCTTCTAAATCCTAAGAAATGACTGGAATGCCATCTAAATACCCCCTGTGTTCCCATCACCCTCTTGCCGGAGCCCTGTCCTGCGCTTGCCAGTGACCAGACTTTCAGAAGAGCACAAGCCCCCGTGTGGGGGACTGACCTCGTGGTCGGAGCGGCGCGGACAAAGGGCGTCTATTTCGTCAAAGAAGATGACGCAGGGGGCGGAGTTCCTCCCTCTCTGGAACACCTGGCGGACGGCACGCTCGCTCTCGCCCACGTACTGGAGGGACAGCAGGACCCAGACGCACACAGCGAGACGCACAGAAGGAGGGTGAGAACGGGCTCCCAGACAGTCATGCCACTAAACAGGGCTGATGTCAGCATGCAGCCGCCCTGCTGTCTAGAAAATGTTATCTTTTACAACATGCTGTAAACGCTTCCTGTAAGCATCACATTTTTATTACCCAGTTGGCTCTTTTGCTCAATAGCTGAGTAAACTGTTTACCTATTGTCCCTCTTAATAAAAGTGAAGTGCCGAGAGGCCTCCTTTCTTCCCCTCAGACCAGCAGCACTTTATTCTGTATCCAGGGTGGAGCAGAGTCCAGCAGAGATGCACAAGGGAAGCTCATGGAGGGGCAGAAGCACAGAGCCCCCAGAGCCCCTGTGATCCCTGTAAGAGCCTACCTGCTCGCTCCCCATCTGGGAAACAGTGTCAGCTTTTCAGAACACAGCAACGTCTCGCACTGAACTGAGCTATTTATCTGCTCTAGCTAACAGGAAGGTCTCTGCGTGTTGTGCTTTTTAAAATTCATAGCTAACGTTTTAAAAAATATTATCAAGTCTATTGGATTGACCTTTAACTTACACAACGAACTTAAATTATGAACATTTCTTTTGATCAACTATGTGTATTAAGGTTAACTACTGTAATACTGTATGTTACATTATTCACAGTTGGGACTGAAGGTCGAGGCCAAAACAACACATCCTACTACATTATATACCAGGTAAAAATATTTCATCAGCCTCTCCTGAAGTATGCTACACTGAACCCAAACTGATCCTGGACTTTCAAAAACTACATTTTCCAGCTTCAATTAATGTCTCACACCTTAGACTGAATGCACCTCCTGATAGAAATGGTGTAATTTTGTTATTCTGTTTGGGATCTCTCTCATGGGGCTTTGTCAGTCTGATTTTTTCCCCTCTATGATGAGCCACAATTGGCCCTGGTGCTATGCAAAACCGAAGGAAACAGAAAGGAAAAACTATCTCTGGGAGCTGTATCACACCAACCCCCTCTAGGATGTAAGAAGTATAAGAGTTAAGTAAAAATACTTTCCCCAGTGTTCAATTCCTTTTTTATTTTTGTCTTAACTACCCAAGACAATCCCACATTTTTTTATTTCCAATTTTAAAAACTCTTAAACTACATGATCATTTGATTTGATTAAGGACAAATCTGCATGTTTGTGTTGCAGTGCCAGCAGCTCACTGGCTCCACAAAGATCATGTGAATCCTGATCAAGAGACAGTTTTGGGGTACTGGTCAACAGCTGGCACTCACTTGCAGAAGCTTAAAACAATGTCTTTCTGTTCTAATAATCTTGTAGGTAAAAAAAAACACCACATTTAATCTACAGGGATACAGGCCCAGATTTTTTTTTAGAAGTTTAAACTCTAGAGGAAATAGAGAGGACATGCATTTCTGTAAAGACTGTGTAACATACTCACCATGTTTAACAATTCAGGGCCCTTGACAGAAATGAAGTTCAGACCAGACTCATTGGCAACTGCCTGGCAAGCAAAATATAGACATGATTGACCACAGGGCAAAGCCAAGTTTCAAGTCTGACTCAGTCAACTGTCTATAATAAGAGTGGGTGATATTTACAAAACATGAACAGGACTCTTTCATGTCTGATTACTTGTATGTTTCCATTTTAATGAAGCAAGAAGTGTAGAGATGTAAAGGAGTCCTTCGGAACGTGTTGTATAATTGACAACAACAGGAAGCGCTGTGTCTGTCGGACCCGGTTCAAGCGGCAGCAGGCGTGTAGTCAGATGTGAAAGGAGTTACCTTGGCCAGCAGGGTCTTGCCACAGCCCGGCGGTCCGGCCAGCAGGACTCCCGCGGGGGCACTGAGGCCCAGGGCTCTGAACTGCTCCGGGTTGCGCACTGGGGCCTGCAGGACAGCACACAGCATGATTTAAGGTTATGCAGGTGTATCACAGGCAGTGTGGTTGCTGACACAACAGCCTCACAGCTCAAAAAGGGTCCTGGGTTTATTCCCAACTTGTCTGGGAGCAGATTTTTCTCCCTGTGATCATGAGAGTTCCTGTTTTCCATCTCCCTGTGGCGTGCCAGTTAGGTCTGATCTTCTGCTCTGAAGTGTTCAATCAAGAGTGTTTTTTAAAAGAGAATTAATACTCTGGGTATTTGTTCCCAGGGCGAACAGCACTGGCTATGCAACTACAGAGAAACAGAATCAAGTAAGCTCAGCGAGACAGGCTCCCTCACGATCCCCCTGATGTCGTCCTACATCCACAGAGCGCAGTGCATCCGAGTCGGCGACCTGAGGCCCTGAGCACAGCCTACTCCCGGTGGGCTCAGTGAAGAACCACAAGCAGGATCACGAGCTTTACCAGGATGGCCATGGTGAGCTCCTCGCGCACGTCCTGCAGCGCTCCGATATCGGCCCAGGTGACGTCGGGCACGGTCGCGAAGCCCTCTCTCTTGGCGGAGGGCTGCACGGAGGACAGCGAGGCCCTGAAGTCGTCCATCTCGATCGTCAGCTGGCCCAGCTGCTCCTCGCTCAGCACACTGTCACTCTTCAGCAGAGCCAGGAGCCGGCACAGCTCTGCCTGGTGACGCATCACAGAGAGGAGGGGGGCAGGGCAAGGGAGACGGAGTGTGAGAACCACATGTCGCCCTCCTCTGCTGCTGCAGCTGCTACTTTCAAGCCTCACAGGAAAATAAATGCACACAGATGTTACCCCCCCACAATAAAGATCTAAACATATACATTGGCAAAAACACTGATAACCAGATCACTATGGAAGCTTCAACTTTATCAGTCCTGGAAGATGTGGGACCCCCCAGTCTTGGATGTGCTAAAATCCTAATCTATTGGAACGATGTATGCCTTTGTTAGCTTTGAAAGGTATAGATGATACAGCACCACCATTCATGTATACTGCACAGTTCTCAAATGAACGCTCTGAGTTTTGTAAACACAATTTAGTTATGAATGTTAAGGATCTATCAAGAAGGTGATCATACCCTTGGAAAAGTCTAGTAGCCCAACTATACACCAGAGTGTTCTGATCACAGGTGTCCTTCCCTTATCACTCTCCATACCCATCTTGAGGGTGATCTATCATGGTGAGCTGGACACAGGAGTCTCTTCTGACTGTAACCGGGAGGGTACGCTCACCTCTGCTGACATGTCCTTGTGCTGAGGCTGCACGCTTGCCCCCTCGGTACAGCTGCCGTCTGCCTGCCCCTGTCCCTCTGCCTCCTGTGTCGGCTTGTCCCCGTCCTGCATCTCAATCAGGATCCGGTTGATGGCGGTCATAGCTGCCTCCCTGCACAGGGCCATCAGGTCCGCGCCCACGTAGCCCGGGGTGAGGTGAGCCAGGGCCTGCAGGTCAAAGGCCTCTGGGAGCCTGAGCTTCCGGCACAGAGTCTGCAGAATCCTGGAGACGGGCAGAGCCACAGAACAGCGCGATGAACACGGCAGTGACAGCGGAAGGGGAACGAGAGAATAAAATAAAGAAATACAACAGAGAAAAAAAAATAAGAAGGAAAGGAACAGGGGAACACGCTTGAAAAAGACAGAAGCCAGAAATAAGCAGCATGGCAAAAACAGACAAGAAAAACAAAAAACACAGGGTGGGAAAAGAAAAGAAGGCAAAGAAAATTTAAAGAAACGGATAAAGTTAAAAGGCG